CCAAGCCTTCAAGGCTTGACCCCCGGGCAGGGCACCGCCCCAGGGGCGGGCCCAGTTGTGGACAGAGAGGTTCCCAGCAGCTTTAGAGAGAAGGAGGCGGCAGCAGCGGCCAGCAACGACAAGAAACACAGACATGGGGTGGGGGTGGAGGAGGGGCATACAGGCACCCGTGTCGCTCAGGGGTCCTCGGGCGGGGCGCGCAGCTCTCCAGGAAGGGGACGCACATGTCACACGCTAGCCTGGCGGCCCTACAGCCGGCGCTGTAATGGTGGCGGCCTCTGGGCGGCACCCACCTTGGAGCCCCGCTCGTTAAAAATGATCTCCACGTCTAAAATTTTTCCGAATTGCTGCAGAAACAGAGAGGGGGTTGGGGGGGGACAGGAGACGGTGGGTGAGGGCTGCTGGCGGGCAGCCTGCTCCCCGGTCACCCTCACCGCTGCCCCTCTGCCCGGCCCCTCCCTCCGTGTAGCTGGGGGACAGGGACGCCTCCCGCCTTCTGTGGAGCCAGGACGAGGCCCGTCCACAAGCTGGGCCGTGCTTGGTGACAGGCGAGCGCCGCGTCACCGTCACCCTGTCCCTCCCTGCTCTGCCACAAGCTGCTGACCGCCCCCCTAATTCACACTAACGGGTAAAGGACTATGGGAAGGTCCTTCCCCACAGGAAGGGCTGGGAGAGAAGGCACCACAGCAGGCCCTGCGTGGCTGCTGCCCGTGCTGGGGGGGCCGGGCTGGGGGCGCCGCGGTGACTGGACCCCAGGCCCCTCTGCCCGATCAGGACACACTGGCCAGGGCACCCGACTCTGCCTTCCCCTTCCTGCCCTCTCGCTGGCACGTGAGACCATCAAGCTGTGACCAGGTCCCCCCCAATGCCAGTGAGGTCCCGAGGCCTCCAGTGTGTAAAATGATGGGGCTCCCCTTCACCCCGAAACATCCCGGAGGTGGTGTCATGGGTCACAAGGCAACCCCAAGGCTGCCACAGAGCGGGAGGAGGTGCCGCCCTGAGCCGGGGCCGAGAGCTGGCGGGCAGCCTGCAGGTCCTCCAGGGCCGGCGAGCTAAGGGCAGCCTGGGGCCCGGGGCCCCGAGACTCTACGCAGCTGCTTTACGTGGGGCCCAGGCCCAGGGGGGTTGGTAGCTGCTCGGCTCCAGGGCCAGGAGCGGGTGGGTGTCGGGGGGAGGGCAGAATCCTCATCTGAGGACTCCAAGTCCTGTACCCCCCGGGGCCCAGGCAAGTGGCAAATGAAGTGATGGGGGCTCCCTGCGGCTGGTGGGCCCCACGGCACGACCTGGGGGACAGCCCCGGAAGGACACGGGCCGGCGCTTGCTTCCCGTGGACTGTGTCTCGTCCAGTAGCCCATCCCCGGAGCCCAGAGGACGCAGCCCAGAGAGGCCGGGTGCCCGGCCCCCGCACCCAGCAGAGGGAGCAGGCGCCTGCCGGCGGGGCAGGGCGCCCTCTGAGGAGACGGTCCCGGAGCCCGTGCCAGAGACGCAGCAGCTTCGCTACCTGCTGGGCACTGGCCTGGGCCTGGAGGGGACCCTGAAGCCCGCGGGCAGGAGGAGGAGGTGGGCCTCCCTCGTCCGTCTGTCCGTCTCTCCCTCCCTCCCACAGGCTCAGGTCGGGACTGGCTGGACCAGGAGGCAGGAGGGGGTGGGGACAGGAATGGGGGGCCCGCACACACTCACCCCGAACATTTGCCGCAGGTCGGGGTCCCTGAACCGGAAGGGGATGTTGGAGACGTGGAGCCGCTTGGGGTGCTGCTTCTCTGTGGGGTCGGAGGGGTGGAGCGGCTGGCTGTCCGTCTGTGCCGCCTCGTCTGTCTGCTGTGGGGAGAGGACGGGGTGAGGGCCTCTCTCTGCTCCATCCCACGGGGGGCGGGGGGAGCTCAGAGACCAAGTCCTTCCCAGCCCCTCGGACCCTTCCTCCCGGGGCTGGGATCTGCCAGGGAAATGGGCCGAGACGCTCACAGGACACGGCCCAGCTGTGCCGGACGCCAGCGCGAGCCGGGCCTCCTTGGCCCTGTGTCCCCGCTCCGCTTGGCCCAGGCCTGACCGTGGTCCCTCAGCTCCAGGGACCATCGGGCCTCAGGGTCCCACGCGTGCCCTTTCCCGACAGGACCATTCAAGGCCTGATGACAAAGTGTGCATTTCCGAACCCGCCGCCGGGCACACACATCCGTAGGGGTGCTGCCCCCCCACGGGCACACACATCCGTAGGGGTGCTGCCCCTCCCCCCCGGGCACACACATCCGTAGGGGTGCTGCCCTCCCCCCGGGGCACACACATTCCGTAGGGGTGGTTGCCCCCCCCCGGGCACACACATCCGTAGGGGTGCTGCCCCCCCCGGGCACCTGGGGGCGGCCTCTCAGCACTTTGGGGGCCGCGCACAGTGACCAGTTCCGTCCTGTGTAGCGGGTCCGCACTTTGGACTCAAACACTGTTTCAGCAGCGGGGCCCAAAGGCCCAGCCTCAGGGAGCAACGCTGCCGCTAGCCACCCCCCTCGCCCCCCCAGCCTCCCCGTGGACGGTGCTGGGATGAGGCATCGCGGCGTCTGGCGGGAGGAGGCGCTAGCCCAGGGGGCGAGGCCCCGCCTGGGGGACTTCTCCAGGGACGGGCGCCAGCTCACCGCCAGGCCGGCCTTTAGCCGGGTCCCTCCCTGCAGACTCGCCAGTGCCAAAGGCGCAGTGGGTGCTCCATCAATGCCGCTGGGTGATGAGTGGCCGCTGACCGAGGTGCCCGGCCAGCTCACCGGGACCGGGACCGGGACGCCAGGGCCCGAGGCCCCATGTGCCACCCACAGGGACATGCCAGAACCGCCAATGCCCGCCGGAGACTCGCTCTCCTGGCTCTGCCCACGGGTAAGGCAAGTGGGGGCGTCACCGTCCAGCAGCCGTCCTTAGTGGTGACAGACAGGACAGATGCCACGGGGCTCCTCCGCCCCCACACCCCCCAGTGGGGGTGAGCTCAGCACCGAGGGGATAACGAGATGAGAACATAACCTCTATTTCCTCCTTCCCTTTCTTGTCTTGATTCGTGCCTGTCCGCTCCCCCCCCCGCCCGGATTATTTTGGGGTCACCCCAGTGCACTGCTCAGATGCATCCTTGTCTCGGTCGGCTTCCCGGACCCCTGCCTCCAGCAAAGCCACCCTGGGCCTCCTGCCTGGAGAGAGCGTAAGCGGAGGGTAGGTGCCCCGAGCCCTCAGGGAATTTGTTCCAACCGGTGGCTGTGGCCTTGCTTGTGGCCTGGAGGGAATGCAGTGCTGACCTCGGCCAGCAGAGGGCAGAGGTTCACTTGGCCAGGAGGCCGGGCTGGAGCCCGGGAGCCCTGGGTGGGGAGTGCGGGGAGGACCACAGGAGGCGGAGGCCACGGGGGTCACCAAGATCCAGGTCCCCCCGAGCCCCCAGGGAGCAGCAGAGGGCGAGGGTGGGAGAAGGGGGGGTGTGGGGACAGGGAAGGGCCAGGACACCAGGAAGGAGGCGCCCGGCCTCCACAAGCTGCGCGCAGGCAGATAAATTGGATCTGTTGCCTGTACGTTGTGCGAGGTGCTTGAGAGCCCGGGCGGTCACGAGCACACGGGCTGCCCGCGGGGAGGCGAGGCCGGCCCACCGTTTATCACCGCGGCCCCGGCTCTCCCCCCTTAGAACACTCTGCTTCAGCGCCCACACGCAGGGGGCACGGAACCACACCAGCCACACCCCTGCCTCCGCCGCTGGTCCCAGGGGCTTGGCTTCTGCGTCCTCATCTCCGTGTCAGCTGCCCTCACCCCCTCTCACCCTCCCAGGCCAGGAGCGCAGAGGCGGCCACCCGCTGAGGAGTCTGCAGCCCCCTCCACCTGGGCCTCCCCAAGGCCAGCACGGGGGGGGTGGTGGTGGTGGGGGGAGGCCAAGAAGGTGCTGGGCAGCGGCCGTGGGCCCAGGGGCCTCGGGCAGCAGACGTGGACCCGTGCCCAGTGCTGCCATGAGCGAGGCCCGCCGACGTGTGACAAGACGGAGCGGGTCTTGCAAAGCTCCTTTCTCTGCAGCCCCCCGTGCCCTCACCCCTCCTTCAAAACCTCTGTACTTGTGTGATGACTGTCAGCCGCGTGCCCGATGTGGCTCACCCCGAGGGGCAGCCCGTCGGCCTCGGAGGAGGCGTGTTCCGAGGGTGGCCTCCAGCCGTCCGTTCACGATGACTTGTTCTGGGGCCCAGGGCAGCCCCTCCTGGGGCAGAGCTGTGTGTCCACTGTGGGCTTGGCCGCCACGCACGCTCCGTGCCCCATGCTGCCTTTGCCAAAAGCATGAAGATGACGAGGGATCCACACACAGGAGAGGTGGGTCTGGACAAAAGCGGGGCTCGTGCAGTCTGCGCCCGGGCTCCCCGATCCGACCACAGAGGCTCGCTGAGCTGAAGGGCCTCAGAGAGGGGACCGGGACCGGGACCGCTGACCAGTGCGCAGGCGCCCAGCCTTCAGGTGGTGGCGGGCAGCCTCTCGGGGGAGAAGGCGGCTCCTGGAGTCGAGCAGGACGAGGCGTGGCCCGGCTCCAGCTGCGCCCGAGGCGGTGGCCGAGGCCTCCGGCAGCTCTGGGTCACCAGCTGTCCAGTGACGTCCCCTGCACTGCTCATTCAGCCGGGGCCTGGAGAGGAACGGCCTGTCCCCCTGGTCCCCAGGCGGAGACCCGCAGAGCCCGGCCCCTCGCAGGGCCTGGAGCCCCGGCCGGAGGAAGGAGGGTGGCTGCATCCCGCAGGCCGGTCGCGTTCCCGGGGAGGCGCTCAGCTGGTGCAGCAAGCCTCTCCCCTCTCTGTGGGGGCTTCACCTGGGGACTCTGGGGTCCCCCTGGGCACGGACTCTCACAGCCAGAGGCCACGGCTGGCCCCTTCGACTTCCATGTCCGTGGCTGGTGAACCCGACGGTCATCGCGGGGCAGGGCCGGTCACTGCTTCTGCGCCCAGTGCGCTCGGTGCCGGCACATGGTAGGTGCCCACACATATCCGCCCGCAAAGGCAGACTCGACGTGTCCGGTCAGGCCGCGTCCGGGCCCCGGTGCCGAGGAGGCCGGGCTCTTCCTGCCGCACAGGCCTCGGGCCTCGGCTGCCAGCTGCGCTCCGATCCTCTTGTCTCCCAACAGTGTCCACTTCCCGGGCGAATCCGGGCTCCCCATCCGTTAGTGAGGAGGTCACGAGGCCTGACCAGGCGCCCCGTCCACCACAGTCCGTCAGAAAGAGGCCTGCGGCCGGCAACGCGCTCCCGGCGAGCCCCCTGCTCCGCTCACCTCTTCAGAGCGCACAGGTCATGGGGCTGCGGCCTCAGGAGCAGGAGCAGCGGGAAGTGTGGGTGGCGCCTGGGTCTGCGGCCCACGGGCCGGGCTTCTCCCACCGGCAGGAACCCTGGGCGTCTATGAGAGACTCTGCACCAGGGATGCGAGGCGCCGAGTCGATGGCTTCCAGCGGCTCCGCTGGGCAATGCTCCAAGCGGGAGGAAGGGCCCTGGCTGGGCCCCAGACGAGGGTACAGTCCAGCCCGGGGGCGGCGGGGTGGGCTCTCCCCTCACAGAGCTTGACGGTGCTGTCCGCCCAGGAGAACAGGTCATATTTGCATCCACGCAGCACCTTGGGAGCCAGACTGGGTCAGGGGGAGGGCTGAGGGCATGTGGAGGGGGCAGAGCCACTCCTGGACAGCTCGGAGCTGCTGGCCCTTTGCCCAGCCCGGGCAGCCAGCGCTGGGGTGGAGCCAGCAGGGAGGTTGGGTGGCCCCATAGCCCCAGCACAGCGGTGAGGGGGTGGGGGCCTGGAGACCAGTGGGGAGTGCAGGACGGGCCAGGCAGGCTGGGGTCTCAGGGGTGGTCTTAGGAGGGTGGCCGGGGGCAGGCTGGGGTCCCGGGAAGGTGGCCGGGGGCAGGCTGGGGTCCTGGTCTCGGGAGGGGGCGGGGCTCAGCCATCCCTCACCACACGCTCACATGGAAGTGCAGGGCTCAGCCCGTTCTCCTCCGGCGGCATTACAACCACATAATTGAAGCTATCTGATTGGAGGGCAGCCAAGCAGGTAGATTACAAGTGATTAGAAAGGAGAGGAGTGCTCGCCACCGAGACAGCACAGCGCGGAGGCCCTGGGCTCCTCTCCCGCCGCCAGCCCCCCACTCACCCCGCAACACCAGGCGAGCCCAGGCCGCCCGTGTCCCTAGCTTCCCATTCACGGTCACTGGCAGCCGGACACGCTCCCTCTCCCAGGCGAGGCGAGGGTTGGCTGGGCCTGGCTCAGCAGGGGCCACCGGAGAGATGCTTCGTGTGAGGACCAAGCGCTGCGAGGCTGGGACCCCCACTAAGTCTCCTGCCCCTCCACCCACGGGCTGGCCTCGCTCCCTGAAGCTTGGTCTCGGGGGCCCCTTACCGGCACTGTCGGGGCCCCCGCCATGGGCTGCGTGCTGGCCTCGGTGCCCGGCTGCTCGGGGTGGGTCTGTGCTGGTGTGTACAGGGTCAGGCCGTGCTCCGGGGGGACCGGGGTCTGGCCCGAGTAGTCCTGTGTGGGGTGCGGCGGGGGCGGGGCGTACTCGGCGGGGATGCCGTTCTGTGGTGGAGGGGGGTACTGGGCGGGGGGGTAGGGCTGGGCCATCGCTTCAGGTGGAGCCGTGGCGTCCTGGCTGCCCTGTGGAGGGAGAGAGAGAGAGAAGGCTGGTTAGACTCCCGGGAGGCGGGGGGTCAGCCCGGACACTGGCCCCAGGAGCTTGTCGGCGTGGACTCTCTGCCCACCCCTGGAATTGGGGTGTTGTGGGACCGGCGATGTGGGGCATACACGCAGCCTGGACGGAAGTTCCTCAGCCTCAGAGGAGGGACTGGGGTCCCTTATGGTGTCGGGGGCGGGGGGGGGGGCTGGGCTGGGGAATGTCCGGCCCGAGGGCCGTAGAAGCCCTGAGAATCCTTTGGCCTGGCCCTGCCAGGGCATTAGGGGGGCATTAATGAAATGTGTGGCCGAATCCAGCAGGCTGGTGTTTCCGTGGGTAATTCTGTGTGGCCCGAGAATGACTACAAATACCCACATGGCCCTGGGCAGGAGAAAGGCTCCCCACCCCCATGCAGATGCGCCCGAGGGCCGGCCCGCGGCAGCCCCCCTGAGCAGGTGAGGCGCTCTCTGGCCTTCCGAGGTGTCCCCAGGCGACAGAGCGCCCAGCGTCAGGACAGGTGCCGAGGCTCGAGTGAGTAGCCCAGCGGCGGCAGGACCTCGCACTGGCGCGGACAGTCGGACACTCATGACTCCTCTTCTCCCCGCGCGGGGAGGACCCTGTGCGAGCTCCCGCCACCCCCCTTCACGCCGACCCGCACACCTGACATCTCCTGTCCACCTGCCCCAGGAGCCGTCCGGGCGCTCCTGCCAGAGAGCGTGCTGGGACTGTCCACTCAGCCACGACGACTCCCGACGCCTGCCCCTGGCGGCCGGGGCGGGCTGTGGGCCTGCAGCCAGCCCATCGGAGAGTGAATTTGGACGCTGACCCGGAAGGCGAAGCCACTGTTAAAGTGTGAGGTGCCCAGAGAGGCCGCCCCAGGGCAACGGGGAGTCAAAAACCCCGCTGGGGGCTCCGCCATCAGGCCCGGGGCCCGGCCCCACAGCCGCCTGTCCATCCCCCTGCAGGTGGAGGCCTGAGGGCCCCCTGCTCCCCAAGCTCCAACGCCAACCTCCGCATCTCAGTGCCGGACCCCCCACTTCCTGGGGGACCCCTGACAGCTGGTAGGCAGAAGTCCTGTCCTGTCCTGTTCCCTGGTGAGGATCCCCTCCCTCTCTCTGCAGAAACTGGGGTGGCATTCACGCTCCTGACCTGGGGAGGGAAACACACACGTGCATGTGCACGCACATGCACACCCACACCTGAACGCACGCACACACGAATGCATGGCACACATGAACGCACGCACATCCGAACGCACGCACACACGAATGCATGGCACACACCCACCCACACCCGAATGCACGGCACACACGAATGCATGGCACACACCCACCCACACCCGAATGCATGGCAACACGAATGCATGGCACACATGAACGCACGCCCCATGCTAGAGGTCCCCGTTTCATTGTTCCAGAGTCACCTGCAAAGCCCCATGACCCACTGTTAGCAAACGTCTTGGCGAAGTCCCCAGCTCCCAGTGAGGTCAGGCGGGCGCGGGTGGAGGAGGGGAGGGCGGGGCGGGGGGGGCTGCCAGGGTGGAGGAGCACTCGGAAGGTGAGGAGGGAGGAGCAGGAGAGCTGGAGGAAATTGTGGGGCTGAGGGTGAGGGTGAGGCGGCCCACGAGATCAATTAACTGATAAATATTTGATTAGAACTTGTGCTAACTTACATCTTCCCAGCGCCCCCTCCTCCCAGGCTCCGAGAGAGGGAGGCTCTCTCACCTGCTTCCTCTCACTCACCCCGACTTCCCCAGTCCCCTCTGGCCTGGGTCCCATTCGGGCCGAGTGACGCTGACACACAGTGATGTTGGGGGAGGGGGCACACGGACTCAGTCCCGGGGGCCCAGGTCAGGCTGCCCCCGTCCTGCGGCGAGTCTGGCTGGGTTGGGTTTGGTCCTGGGGTGATTCCGGCCGTGCTTCTGGGCCCGCCGGGCAGAAACAGCGCGAGTCACCCCAACATCTCCCAGGAGGGGGCCTGGCCCGCGCACGCCCACAGGGAAGGTGTGATGAGGGGGAGCCCAGGGAGGGGCTGGGAGAGCCCTCGGCCCACGGGAGGAAATGGCACCGGGTGACCTGCCCAGCGGCCCCGCTGGTGACGCAGGTAGGGCTGGTGTTATGTCTGCGCCCAAGAGAGGGGGCCAAGGTGCGGGGGCCTGGATGCAGGCTCCTGGGGTGCACCAGCGAGCAGGTTCCCCGCGGAGCATAACTGCTGGCCAGGCTCACAGCCCAACGTCCTGGCGCCTTGAAGAGCCAGTGGGCCAGCCCGGAGGCGGCAGCAGCCAGGTCAGAGGGATGCCCACGGGTGCAGAGAGGGGGCTGTTTTACCATATAAGCCGTCACAGGAGAGTTTTTGTGGACAAGCCAAAGTCTGGGATTCAACTGGGGCTGCCCCGGATGGAGGTTAGAGCCCTGGATGGAGGTCTGGTCCCCGGATGGAGGTCTGGGTCCCGGATGGAGGTCTGGGCCCCGGATGGAGGTCTGGGTCCCGGGTGGAGGTCTGGGTCCCGGGTGGAGGTCTGGGTCCCAGGTGGAGGTCTGGGCCCTGGATGGAGGTTAGAGCCCTGGATGGAGGTCTGGTCCCCGGATGGAGGTCTGGGTCCCGGATGGAGGTCTGGGCCCCGGATGGAGGTCTGGGTCCCGGGTGGAGGTCTGGGCCCCGGATGGAGGTTAGAGCCCTGGATGGAGGTCTGGTTCCCGGATGGAGGTCTGGGTCCCGGATGGAGGTCTGGGCCCCGGATGGAGGTCTGGGTCCCGGGTGGAGGTCTGGGTCCCGGATGGAGGTCTGGGTCCCGGGTGGAGGTCTGGTCCCCGGATGGAGGTCTGGGCCCCGGATGGAGGTCAGGGTTCCGGGTGGAGGTCTGGGTTCCGGGTGGAGGTCTGGGTTCCGGGTGGAGGTCTGGGTCCCGGATGGAGGTCTGGGCCCCGGATGGAGGTCTGGGCCCTGGCAAGGAGGTCTGGCTCACCACTGAGTCCGCAGCACTGACAGGGCTCAGGCATACAGCAGGTGCTCAGAAAATGCTGACTGTGGTTGTGACTGCCACAGGCAGACGGCTGACGAGAGCCTGGCCCTGCGTTCAGCAATGAAAATGTGATACTTCATGTCCCTGTCGATACTGTGACCTGGCAGTCGCCCCCACGGAAGGCTGGGCGGGAAGTTACCTGCCCCGGTGCCCACGGCCAGGCACGCGGGGCTGGGCTGTGAACACAAGTCGTGGCTCTGCCTGGGGAGTGGGGCTGCCCCGGTCGGGCTCCAGGTCCCCTCCCGTGTCCCAGCAGGAGGAGGAGGTCCGGGAGGCGGGCTCCTCGGGAGGCGGGGGAGGTGCCCCAGGTGGCAGGAGAGAGCGGCCCGGAGGACAGCCCGCTGCTCACTGGGAGGGAGGCTGAGGCTGCAAGGTGGGGTGAGAATCCACTGCGTGCGCTCCTCCCGTCCCAGCCAATCCATCTTGCCCCCGGCAGCAGCTCAATATCTTTTATTATTAGGGCGTCAGACGGCGTGGTCA